ATATTACAAAAAAAACTTAAGCTGGCGATGGGTGGCGGGCACCTGTATGCCCAGCTACTAGAGAGGCTTGAGGCGAGGAGAATGGCGTAAACCCGGGAGGCGGAGCTTGCAGGCATGCTGAGTCCGGCACTGCACTCCGGCCTGGGCGACAGAGCCAGACTCCGTCTCCAAAAAAAAAAAAAAAAAAAAAAAAAAAAAAAAAAAAAAAAGGAGCAAACAGTTCAAGCTGGAAAGGCTAGAAGGGCAGACAGCTCATGCAGCCAGAGTGACACCGGGCTGAGTTTTGAGGTATTTGTAGGGGTTAGCAGAAGATAAATAAGAGGAAAAGTATATTGAGAGAAGCCTAGGAGTAAACAAAAAGAGACGGGCCGGCGGGCGGGTGCGGTGGCCACGCCTTTGGAAGTCCCGACCCAGCTCCAACTCAAAAAAAAAAGGATGGGCCCTGCAACAGGACTTACCTAGGTGTGAACCTCGGCTCTACCACTTTTTATCTAGGGGCCTTGGGCAACTTAACCTCATGACTCTAAAACGGAGGTAATAATACCTACCTCAAACATTAATATGAAAACAAAGCAATTACAGTGTCTGCCTCACAGTGAGAGCTCAAAAGAGGTTAGCCATTATTATTTTCACTGTTAATATTACAAAGTCTCAGGAACAGCAGCTGACCCAGAGAAGGAGAGTAACCGGAGATGAGACCAGCCCAGAAGGCAGACGCCAAACTGCAAAGTGCTTTGTGTCTTTAGAGTTTGGATTTTACTGAAAGCCACAGGCAACCACTAGGCAACTCCAAGCAACAGCAGAGTTATCTGCTCAGATTCACTCTTACGCTGACAACAGGTCAGATTCCAAAGTATGTGTATATATGTTCTTTCGGTTTTTAAATTTAACTTTTAAGTTCCGGGGTACATGTGCAGATTTGTTATGTAGGTAAACTTGTGTCATCGGCTTTGTTGTACAGATTGTCACCCAGGTATTAAGCCTAGTACCCATTAGTTATTTTTCCTGATCTTTTCCTTTCTCCTGCCCTCCATCCTCTGATAGGCCCCAGTGTGTGTAAAATACATGTTCTTTCCATCACCCAGGGTGCCTCAGCAAGAAGCCTATCCCCGCCCCAGCTTTCCCTTGGCTGGGGGTGGGCGGTAACAGGCGAAGGACGTACTTACCACCTGTGGCAAGGAAACACACCTTCCCCAAGAAGAAGCTGGCATCCACATGGCGCAGGGACTCCTCAGTGTTCTGGAGGCTGGGGTGGCCAGGCCAGAGTGAGAAAACACACCAGAGAACAAAACTTTACAACAGAGAAGGCAGAAGCCCTTGCTTCTCTGATCCTAGAGGCCAGAGAATGACAAGAGGGTGACATTCTCTGGAGAAATACTTTGTCCTTTTTTTTGGGGGGGGGGGATGGAGTTTCACTGTCACCCAGGCTGGAATGCAGTAGTGCGATCTTGGCTCACTGCAATGTCCACCTCCTGGGTTCAAGTGATTCTCCTGCCTCAGCCTCCTGAGTAGCTGGGATTACAGGTGCATGCCACCACGCTCAGCTAGTTTTTGTATTTTTAGTAGAGACACGGTTTGCCATGTTGGCCAGGCTAGTCTCAAACTCCTGACCTCAAGCGATCCACCGGTCTCAGCCTCCCAAAGTGGCATGAGCCACCATGCCCCATTATGTCCTTTAATGTTTTTTAAAAATAATTTCAACTTTTATTTTAGATTCAGGGGGTACATGTACAGGTTTATTACATGGGTATACCATGTGATGCTGAGGCTTGGGGTACAAATGATCCCATCACCCAGGTACTGAGCATAGGACCTAATAGTTTTTCAATCGTTGCCCCCTCCCTCCTTCCCTGCTCTAGTAGTCCCCAGTGTCTATTGTTGCCATCTTTGTGTCCATGAGGACCCCATGTTTAGCCCCCACTTACAAGTGAGAACATGTAGTACTTGATTTTCTGCTCCTGTGTTAATTCACTTAGCATAATGGCCTCCAGCTGCATCCAGGTTGCTGCAAAGGTTATGCTTTCGTTCTTTATTATAGGTGGACTTTAATTTTTTTTTTTTTTTTTGAGACAGAGTCTCGCTTTGTTGCCCAGGCTGGAGTGCAGTGGCCCGATCTCGGCTCACTGCAACCTCCACCTCCTGGGTTCAAGCAATTCTCCTGCCTCAGCCTCCAAAGTAGCTGGGACTACAGGCGCCCGCCACCTCGAACGGCTAATTTGTTTTGCATTTTAGTAGAGACGGGGTTTCACCGTGTTGCCCTGGCTGGTCTCAGGCAATCTGCCCACCTCGGCCTCCCAAAGTGCTGAGATTACAGGTGTGAGCCACTGTGCCTGGCCGTTGTCTTTTAAACACTGTGCACTGGCCACTGCCTCCTCTTTCCTCACCCTATAGGATTGACCTCAGACAGCCTCTCCCATCCTCACCACTTCCATCACAAGTTAGGTCACTCTCCCAGCACAGTTCTGAGCCAGGCCTGCCTAAGCCCTGACTGCCCCTTCCTCTGGCTCTCACCTGTATTTGCTGTGAAGATTAACCACAAACACGATCAGGTCAATTCGTGGCCGATTCACACTGGAGGGCAAAGGGAGGGACTTTGCCAAGTGGCTGAAAAACAGGAAATTGCAGGACTCAAGATAACCGTACCGCCTTCACAGCGACCGTTTAAATGCTGCCCTTCATGGGGAAAGAGGCCGTCAAGGGTTCCCCACCTCATCCTAGCCACCCGAGGCTCTTGCGGCCACAACTCCTTGGGCCAGCACAGAGGCAGGACTCGGCCGGTCCTATTCAGTTACTCCTGTCTGATTCCCTCTGCCAGAAAGGGCCTCTGTTTAGTCACCACCTCGGCAAGGGGAGGTTGGGATATAAGACGGCATGGGCCTAGCCAGCTACGCTGCATGCTGGGAGAAGGACCAGCCTCAGAGGAGTGGGCGCTGGGCTTCGGGGTTTAGCAGCTAGGACTGAATCCCTCTGGAGTGAGAGACACGTGGGCCCAGGCCACAGCCGCGGCTACTTACACCTTCAGCTCGGAGGCGCAGTCCTCCTTGAGCATCGAGTCCGCCAGCTGCTGCAGAAGAGCATCCTCCGTGCCTACCAGCTGCGCAGGGAGAGAGAGCGGACCGTCGAGCCCGAGGCACAGCAACCCCTGGGGAGGGCCTGGCCCTTCGACCCACTCCCGGGGAGATCCGGCCGCCGCCAGCAGGCGGCTCCGAGGACATTTCCCGAGAAGTGGACCCCGCGATGCGGCACAGGCCAGGGTCCTGAGGTTTGGACCCGCTGCAGGCCTGTGGGCACCGCACTCTCTACTACCCGATCCTCGTTTAGACCGCCGGCCTCTCCAGGAAGCCAGACCCCCAGACGCGGAAAAACCAAATCCAGGCGCGGGAACCCGCTAATCAGAAGATGGGAAGGGCCCGCCGAGCACCTATTGGTGGGTGCGTCTCTCAACCTTAGAGAGCGGCTACTCCGATTGGTTCAGAGCGTGGCTCTCCGCCTTTTCCCCGTCCCGCTACGGTAGCGCTCGCTGGCTCGGCGCCTTAGGGAGCTCAGTTGACCTACTGGTTGAAGCGCCGCCCAGGAGGTAGAGGCCGGCGGGGGAAGCGGGGCCGCCTGCACCTACCAAGATGGTGGCCGTGTTCAGGCTGGGCAGCTTGTCCAGTGGCCTCAACACCGACATCACAGCCTCAAGGCCGACCGCCGCTCCTGCTGTGCGCGCCGATCTTTCAAACCGCCCTGAGTCCCGCCCCTAGAGCGCGGCCTGGGGGCACGTACCTCCTTATAGGCGGGGCTTCGCGGGACGGGACTGGGCCTCTTAAAGGAACCGAACGTTTATCTCCTTTTCTGAGGTGCATTCCAGCACCACCCGCGGAACACGTGGTGGACAGGCCTTTTGTTCCATGCTCCACAGTAAGCAGATTTTTAGTGATTTCTTTGTACACTTTCGTTCATTCATGCTCATACACAGTACTTTTTTTTTTTTTTTTTTTTTTGAGACGGAGTCTCGCTCCGGGGCCCAGACAGGAGTGCAATGTGCGCGATCTCGGTTCACTGCAACCTCTGCCTCCTGGGTTTAAGCGATTCTCCTGCCTCAGCCTCCAGAGGAGCTGGGATTACAGGCGTGCATCACCACGCCTGATTTATTTTTGTATTTTTAGTAAAGATGGGATTTCCCCAGCTTGCCCAGGCTAGTCTCAAACTCCTGGCCTCAAGTAATTCTCGTGCCTCGGCCTCCTGAAGTGCTGAGATTACAGACGTGAGCCACCGTGCCTGGCCTTTTTTTTTTTTTTTTTTTTTTGAGTTGGAGTGTCACTCTGTTGCCCAGGCTGGAGTATAGTGACATGATCATAGCTCACTATAGCTTCAAACTCCTGGGCTCAAGTAATCTTCCTGGCTTAGCCTCCTGAGTAGCTGGAACTACAGGCAAGTGCCACCAAGCGGATCTGGCCATGTTGCCCGGGCGGCTCTTAAAGTACTGGCCTCAAGCAGTCCTCCTGCTTCAGCCTCCTGAATAGCTGGGACTACCGATGCACATCAGCAGGCCCTGCCAATTTACTGCTTTTATAGCGAGTGGTGAGCATGCTGTTCTTTGTCGGGTGGGAGACTTTAGCTCATCTTTCAAGGTTCCTTGCTGCAAACGCAGCCTGGGTACAGAGCTGTCGGGGTCTTGCTTTCTTGGCATATCCAGCAAGAACATGCAGGGACGCCCAGGGCCCATTGCGAACTGGTTCTCCCAACAGTTATATAGTAACTCGTTAATTGTCTCTCCATCTAAAATGTAAGAAACAAGCGGTTAGAGACTTTGTCACTTTGTATGTCCAGCACTCTAAAAGTGCCTGGTATGTCATAGTTAATAAATATTTGTTGAGTGAATGGATGGATTACATTCATCCATTCATTCTCAGCAGTCATTTATTCATCATTTCCTATGCCCAGACGCAATGCCTGGCCCTGGGAAGACAGTTGAATCAGACATTATTGATTAACTTAGTGTGATGAGGATGGGATAGACCATGATGACAGTGTGCTCATTGTTGTAATATCTGGGAGAGCAGAGACACTGTCTAGCCTAAATCCTTCAAACTGCAGACTAAACTAACTATGTCTTGCTTGGAAAGATCAGGAAGTAAATGGCCCCGTAGAACCCTTGCCCTCAGCACAGATAGGGCTTTGATTCCTCATGGCATGGGATGTGGAGAGGACTTCCTGAAAATCAAGTAGTAGTAGGCACTATGACAAGAAAATAAAGCAAGCTGAACGCCGTGGCTCACGCTTGTAACCCAGCACTTTGGGAGACTGAGGCGGGTGAATCACTTGAGTCTGGGAGTTTGAGGCCAGCCTAGGCAATATAGTGAGACCTCATCTCTGCAAGAAAAAATTTTAAATTAGCTGAGCAGGCTGGGCACGGTGGTTCATGCCTGTAATCCTAGCATTTTGGGAGGCTGAGGCAGGCGGATCACCTGACATCAGGAGTTCGAGACCAGCCTGACCAGCATGGAGAAACCCCGTCTGTACTACTACAAAATTAGCGGACGCTGGTGGTGCATGCCTGTAATCCCGCTACCCTGGGGGGCTGTGGCAGGAGAATCGCTTGAACTCGGGAGGCAGAGGTTGCAGTGAGCTGAGATTGCACCATTGCACTCCAGACCTGGGC